AAGTTTTGCTTTCCTGTTTAAAGTCATATTTTGTAACGAAGTTGACTAACTTTAAATAGATAATTCGCTGCCTCGGCTTTCTTTCACGACAGCTATTGTTAAACTTAATCGTAATAAACATCGGCTAAAAATAACTGGTTAAGTGATTATATGTTACTTTTGTTTTATGGGGGGTTTCATTAAATGCTGAAGTGACCTTGTTTTTATTTTTCAATTTTTAGCTTTTACACATACTTAAATGTTTGTGTTGGCGATGAGATATTGATTTTATGTCTAATCTGAAAGTAAAGTACAATCTCAAAGCAACGTACAATGTAGGTCATTGTTGTGAACAAAGAAATGGATGAAAAGTGATATGACGGTATGCTTTAGTTCTCTGAAAACGTTATATATTTTCATTTATTTTTATATCTTTTATGATGCATATGACCGACCCATCGATACAAATGTTTCTACAGGACCAGATTTGTGTTTATATTTTTTCAAGTGCTATGTAACTATCAAAGTATCATCCACCCACCTGTTTCGCCGACTGACATTCTTCATCACGAATAGTGGTAACTCTGGTGACTGGCGACAACATACCGCCCGACAAACCATGGCACGGGAAGGGGAGGTAACTACAATCAAATGAAGACAGTATCTATAATCAACATACAAGTTGCTTTATCAGAGATATTTTACTCAATCATAGAAGAAGAAGAAAAAATGAAGATAATCTGTATCGCTTAGTTACTCTCTTTGATTTGATTTTATAGATTTAGTTAGTTAAACTGCTCCAACGGGTTCCGTCAACTTTGATTGTTTCCGTGTATGGTACATAAATAATTGATAATACAGATTAAGTATAAATTGACTTGTGAGCTTTCCATCTCAGCTTCTGTTTTCTTCTTTTCAATGAAAAATAATACAAACGTCCTTAAATTCGAGTCCCTACACTTCTAAGACATTTATGCATGTTAACACATTTAGATGGTAATGCTTTTTCCAGGTATATCTATCTGCTTCCATTCCTTATTGTCCACGGTACATTCTGGCTGTAGCATCCGACCTTTGGCCTGGTATTGCACCTGCCATCCAACAAAACAATGCTTTTGAACATGTTCTTTCTAAAACCGAAGATGTATTTTACCTCCCGGGGTTGCACAAGAAAATAGTATTCATGTTTCCGGAGGAGTCTGTCTCAGTGAACACCGTCATCCAGATATTGGTAATATATAACGTTAATTGCCTATGTTTGCATTAATGAACATTGATAAAACTCATATAGTCATATATATTTTGAAAACGATTTTGCTAGGCTTTAATTACAGTTTTCATAAAAATGGTAATTTTGTTTGGTTATTAAATCAATCAAAATTACTTAAATGAACATCTTTTTAAAGCACTTATGTTTCTATCTGACCTTTCAATCATTGCAGTAATTACAATTTGTGTGGACCTTTTACACCTTAGGATTAAACGTATTCATGAAATCAATGGGAATTAATCACTTGAGAAGAAATTTTGAAAGTGTATTGCATATTTCTAATCATTTTCTACGGGTTGGTAAGTATGGATTATTCGATGTCGAATTGGCTACGCTGTAGGCGTATGTACAATAGTTGTTATATATGCACCGAAATTACTCGATTCAACTACGCCGTGTTTAATACTTATTGTATCTTATCGGTAATATTGAAAAGAAACTTAAAATGCATGCAAACATAAGTGAATAGTTGCTACTCTTTTGAAATCATAAAGAGTAACTGAAAATGCATACTGACATACAAGTTGTGCCGTCGATATACCTCTACTGGCTCTTCCGTAGTAGAATAGGAACAAAACTAATAATACAAGAAGTAAAGATTTAGCTTTGGTTTCCTCCATATTAAGATCCCCCGCTTGCAAGCATGCGGATTAACAAGAGTGATTAATACAAGTTGAAATAACTTGTTTTACAATTCCTGTAAAATATAAATGTTTATACTTAAAGTACTGTTTTTTAGGACAGTTTTGGTAACTTCATTTCGCTGTAATCCGTTACAATTGTGTCCTCTTTCTTTTGACGCATAGTTATTGCTCTTCACTATACGAAAATCAACGTTGACTTCAATTGCGATACATTGAGAGAGAAAAAACATGTTGATGAGTGATGTATTGATGGAAATTATAATCGTGTTGATGCTAGGATTCCTGAAAATCTCCCTGATCAGAATAACATGTCAATCCGTTATAATTCACGGTGATATATTCTTGTCTTGGTGTAAATTAATTCGCTTGCACCCTCAAAAAAGAATAAATGTATACATGGACATTATAAACGGAATATAAATTGTTTCTCGGGGAATTTTGTATTTGAACTTAGAAAAGTTTATTATTAATCTTCACTAAGAGTAATATTTTTTTCCATTTTTGAATATTTTTGTTAGAACTTATATCAATTATTTAACATAAGCTGTTGCCGTAAGAGAAGCAAAACAAATCCTATTCTATCGTGGGAATTTATTTACGACAATAGAGTTTGTCATCAAGAACGTCAAAATGGGCCTTTGATACATAATTAATATAAGATAAGTATAAGAATATCAGTAAGATGTCCCCCTTATGCCAGCATTTGTAAGCAATGCGTAAGATAGAAAAAAAGTTAGTCACTTCAAAATGTAAAACTACCCCGTGTAACTTCCAAAACATATCGACATTTGTCGGAACTAGCTCATTAGCTTATGTCATATATTATAGTGTGTTGAATGCTGTAGTATATATACTGTACATGCATTCGTCATTTTATTATTCAAGTGAACTTATATACAAATGTCATTTCCATATTAAAACTCAGATAACGCACTTTTGTTAGGAAGTACGTGTAGTCTACAGCGAACACGTACAGTTACTGAGTATAGGCTTGTTTCTGTTAAACACGGTCTTCGTAACTACGGCTACAATTAAAAAGAACAAAACATTTGTATCTGTTAATTCGCATCATTTCACAATTTCTCCATGAATAGTGAACTTGATGTTTTCATTGAACCTTGTTATTTTGCATCACCTAAATGTATTAGTATATCCATGGGTAAGAAAAATTGAAATAAAATTGTCCTCGGCATATATTTAAAAGAGAAATATTTTCTGCCGGATATGTATATTTTGTTATAAATAAATCATGCATCAAACTGAAACTCTGTTCTATATATAATCGACTTGTTAAACGTTTTAACTCTCTATTATAGAATGCTTTTTTATCTTGCTAGTTGGAACCGGGAGATAAATTTCCTATATTACACGTATTGGCCAGGGGTGACGTATCGGGACCAATCACAGTGCAGTATATTGTAAAGAAAGTACTCGATCAACCGACAGCAGGTGATGAACGTAAAATCCTATTGAAAAATTGTATACGTGACTTGTTATTATTATTGATACATTGTTAATTCCAAACGGTGTTTCGAACTTTTTATTTTTAATTATCAAAAGTTATTATTCAGCATCATATCTAGTCTCGTTCAACCAGACTCTTGTTGTCTGCGCAAGCTACGCCGAACAGAGAGGCTGGTCAAACCCAGTGCTATCGTTTTGTGAAGTCATAACGAGGCTTACCAGAATTCTGGTAAATTATTTTATTGGTCAAAGGTAGACACACCGGTACCCTTTTCAACTTTTGAAGTCATAATTCGAGTGGTTCAAAATTGTATACTTTGATTATAAAAAAA